TCAATTTGGAAAAGTCTCAACATTCTATAAAGGAAAAGCAAGCTATTAAGCTTATTGTTGTGTTGTCGTTAGGTGCTGTTGAGTCAATTCCGACTCATAGCGACCCTATGTACAACAGAAAGAAACATTGAGCGGTCCTGCGCCATCCACACAATTATTGTTATGCTTGAGCCCATTGTTGCAACCACTGTGTCAGTCCGTCTTGTTGAGGGTCTTCCTTTTTTTCACTGACCCCTTTACTTTACCAAGCATGATGTCCTTTTCCAGGGACTGATCCCTCCTGATAACATGTCCAAAGTGTGTGACCTCTTTTCACCAAATGTTAGCAGCAGAGCATGCTAGAAACATCTACACCTCAATACCATATCTGCCCAGAATGCTGTCAGAAGGAATTCTAGGGGCAAGGGACAAGGGAGGACAAAGCCTTTTGTGAAATTCCCTAGGTAACAAGTTCACACATCAAAAATGAGATTTTTAATCCTACCCCAAAAGTTATGCATTTGAAACCCTACAATAGAACTCATTTTTTAAAAAAATTAAAATATAACCATTTCTTGAAGAAAAGGTAACAGTAGTGATTCTAAGATTGAAGAAAGTTACACAGGCCTTTCTGTAGCCAATTTACTACCTCGAATAATACAGACCAGATGTCTTAGATTGGATTCCCTGGGAACAGACTGAGAGGGAGAGTTTCCTGCAGATTATTTGCTAGGCAGAGCACTCCAGAGAGACAGGTGGATATGTGTAAGGAAGTGCGGGAGGCAGGTGTGGGTAGAGGGAGAACTTGCTTCCAAACGTGTCTGCAACTGAGGCCTCAGCCCATCCTTATGGAACCTTTGAAACTGAGATGGTCCATCAGGTTTGGTGCAAATTGAAGCAAGGGGATGGGCATTTGTATTTGAATCAGCCCGTCATTGGTCCATCTACTGAGAGAGGTGCATCGCCTTGGCAGGGCAAAGCCATGTCCAAGGGAAATTCCCAGTGTGAACCACGGGCAGCCAGTATTCTCAGCAGCTGGCTGTGCAGTGACCTGGAGATGAGCATTCTGGTGTCCACTACTCCAAGTTACTATGTTTTTTTGTCATCAACTGAGAAGTACATTTTTGCTTTTTGTTGGTGTCCATTAATGTCATTCACTTCTATACTATATGTCTTTGATGACCATGTAGGTAGTGTGGGGAAATGATGTTCCACGAATATTCTCATATTTCTGTACAGTCAGGGCTTTCTGAACAAAGAACACTAGCGCCTGGGTTAAAGAATGATTGATAATAACCCTAAAGACAGAGACTTCCAGAGAGGTATAGAGATTTAGACCCCTAGAGCCATTTGGTTACACTCCAGGTGGTGAAGTGGAGACCTTCCCCCTCCTCTCCACAGAGAGGATTTGTTTGTACTGCAGAGCAAAGCACTCCCCACCCCACCCCAGAGACAGAGGTGCCAGCAGCTCCTATATAAGCCCCAAACTTCATAATTTCAAGGTTCTTCTGTGATGTAAACCTTACTGCACACACCAATGAACAGTGGGGAATTAGGGCATGGGGAACCAAAGCAAGCTGCTCTGTGAGTAAATAAATGATTGATCCCTAATCCAGAACTCTCGTGTTTCTGTGTGTGTGTGTATGTGTAAAATTGTGTGTAGCAGGCAAGCAGATGGAAAGTCAAGCTCATTAAGGACCTGCTTTCACCAAGTGTTAGCAGCAGATCATGCTAGAGACTGCCACATCTCAACACCATACCTATCCAGAATGCTGTTAGCTTACAAATAGTGTCACATCTCAACCCTTCACAGTTTTGCATTTAACAGGTAAAGCTATCTAAATTGAGAGTTTGGATTTAATTATAAAAGTACACACTTTTAACAACCACATGTTCATCTAAAAAATATTTGATATGCCCATAGCTCTGTTCCCAATATATAAAAAATATATAGAAAATTCTTAATAATGTAAGATATGTACACACATAACTATAGTGTAAAGTGGGAAGAATTAAATTCTAGCAAAAAGAAAAAGAAAAAAAAATTGCTATGACAATGCAAGCAAGAGAGATGACCTCAGCTAGGGAGATTAAGGAAGCAGGGCTTCAAAACTTTTGAACCGGTTGAGTCATGGCCGAGGAAGCAAAAGTTGAACAGACCTGAATTTTTAAGATTTGGGTGATCTGGAACCATAATTGGGATGGGAAAAATTATGGGTTGAAGCCCTGGAATGGGAGACTCGCAAGAGGTATAGTGAGCCCTTTCAGAAGCCTGATGTGTAAGACTGGATTATTGCCAGGACTGAGGAGAGTGACATACATTCAAAGTGGTGTGGTCAGCCACCATCTTTGAGCGGGGCACTGCTGTTTCTGACTGCAAAATTCTATGGGCAAGAGATTTGGTTGCTATGCAATGTGTACACTGCCATTGTTTTCTAAGAACGAGATTAAGATTCTAGCCAGGCTTTGGCCCATAATTTTTCCCATTCTGGTTATGGTTCCGGTTCACCCAAATTTAGAAAATTTGGTCTGTTCCGGTGTTGCTTCCTCAGCCATGACTGAACTTCAAAGGACAAGTTCAAAGCCCTGTAAGGAAGGCTGCAGGGAGGCAGGAGCATGTCAGCTGGACACTGAAAGGTGGTTAAAAGCAAAGCTCGGAAAAAGGCATTATGAAACTTGTGATTCTTAACGATTTATATAATTTACTAATAAAGAATAATAGTTAATGAAGAAATGACAGCAGTGAGTTTTGGTTTTGTTTTGGTTTGGTTTTTAAGTACTTAATATGCCAGGCACTAAGCTAATTGCATTAAATGAATTTTAATTTCTAATTTATTTCTCCCAAAAACCCTTGTGAGATAGGCATTATTATTTTGCTTAGATAGGATTATTAACTTGTTCAAGTTGAACAGGTGACAGGTGGTAGAACTGAGATCTACCAAAAGTTAACTCCAGGTACAATGCTCAAAGCATCCCATTCTCCAGGGTTTGGTCAGAGAAAATAATAGGGGCAAAGGCAGAGAGGTAGAAAGCCCTGACATGTTTGAGCAACAATAGTTTTCTTCGGTAAAATGGTGACTAGGGTAGAGGGAGATGGAGCTGATAAGGAGAGGAAGGCTATGAATAATAGGGTTTAGCTTCAGGGAGAATCTGATGGTTTTTGACAATAGTGACTAAAGATATGCTTTAGGACTATTAATCTGGCAGCAGTGTGAAGGTTTTGGACATGGCTAAATAGGTAGGGTGCAAGAGAAGCTGTTAGGAGGCTGAAACAATAATGGTGCAGCCAAGGGAGAATGGCAGAATGCCTGGCCAAGTCTCAAAACTTGAGGTCTAATGTCTGGTACTAACTATTCTTGTCACCTTAGACAGGTGATTTGACCTCTTTGTCCCTCTGCATCCTTATCTACAGAAAATCTTGGTGGCTCCTTCCAAATCTAAAATTCTAGGAATTTATTGTTAGTGGTTGTTAGTTGCCTTCAAGTTGGCTCTAACTCATGGTGACCCACATACAACAGAACAAAATGTTGTCCTGTCCTCTGCCATCTTCACAATCACTCGTATGTCCAAATCCATTGTGGCAGTCACCGTGTATTTTGAGTGCATTTCAACGTAGGGGGCTCATCTTCCAGCACTATGTTACACTATATTCTGTTGTGATCCACAGGGTTTTCATCGGCTAATTTTCAAAAGTAGATCACCAGTCCTTTCTTCCTAGTTTGTCTTAGTCTGGAAGCTCCACTGAAATCTGTCCACCATGGGTGACATACCAGTGAAATACCAGTGACATAGCTCTCAGCATCATAGCAACACACGAATCACCACAGTATGGCAAACTCACAGACAAGTGGTGATAGAGGGACCTAAATTAGGATAATGTCAGTGATCCCAAGAGACAGAGGTATGTGACTATTTAAGAGATGATTCAGAGAAGAAACTGAAAGAATACAGAAACTGATTGAATGCAGAAGGCAAGAGGGAGAAATTAGAAGACTGCAAGATTTTTAGCCCAGATACCCAGGAAGATAGTAGGAAGATAAGTAGAAATAGGGGCACAGGAAAAAGATAGGAGGACAAATAGGTTTCATTTAAAATATATTGACTTTGAGACATTAATGAGACATAATGGACGTGTTCAGAAGAACTGCTGAAAAAGGAGCCCCAAAATCAGGAAAAGGGGTCGTGGCTGGAATTCATATTTGGAAGCTGTTTTCATAGGCAAGAGAGTAGGTGAGATTGCCTAGCGATAGATCGAGGAAAGGAGGGCAGAGAATCCATCAGAGCTGGTTATAGCCACACATACAAAGGAAACAGAATCAGTTTCCAGGCGAGGAGCCGCCAGCGAGGTAGAAATTCATGGGAGGCTGGGAAGGCGAGGCTTCAAGGAGAAAAACCTGTTTATTCAACCATTAAATGCTATGGGGAGCTACTTGATCTAAAAGACTAATCCAGAAATCAGGAGTTCCAGAGGGAGGGGAATGGTGAAAAGGTGACCGTAAGTACAAATATCCTTAGAGACATTATAGGGAAAATAACTTGGGGACCAACATAACTGGAGTGGGTATTTTCCTCCAAACACAGCCCCCATACCACTGGCATTAGAAACACCTGGGTGGTTGATTAAAATGCAGATGTCTGGGCCTCACACCAGAACTACTGAATCATAACCTCTCAGGAAGATTGTTCAGGTATCTTCATTTTAAACACTACCACCTCCCAATAATTCTTATCGTACAGACCAGGATGACTACTTCAATGTGTTTTTCAAATGAATGGAGAGCGTTGGTGGAAAGGGATTAATTGAAGAGACAGGACAGCTGATGGAGAGGAATTCTGAAAAGGCAAGGTAGGATCTAGGGTGCCAGCAGAAGGATTAGTCTTAAAAGACAGACTCTTCCCACGTCCAACAGCATCCTACTCACCACGGCGGAGACCCAGGCTCAACAGAGTGGCCAGCATGTTCCCATGAAAAGTTCTGTTCGGTGCTTCCAGTCTTGGTAATAATATCTTACTGTTTTTAGTGACAGCCTTGATGCCAGAGACGTACCAGAGGCTGAAATGTCAACAGAAGCCAGAGACCCCAGTGAGTTCCCCAGCCCTCCCAGCAGCAGTGAGGAGAGCACAGGCAGCTGGTCTAAGCTTGCTAATGAGGAGGACAACCCGGACGACACCAGTAGCTTTCTGCAACTCAGTGAGCGATCCATGAGGTACCTACCTGCTCTTCACTTGACTTCTGAGAGAAACAGGTTCTCAACACAGATTCCAAAAACTCATTTTGCTAGTTCTCTGCAAAGGGTCCCTAATAGAGCATAAAGGGAAGCTCCCACTGAGTCCAGATGTCTGCCTGTTGTGATTTGTGCTGAGCAGTATCTTAATATCCAATTACAGCTTAAGTTACCTTGGCCAAGGTTAAGAGTCAGGTTAACCTGCAAGCCCTAGCTAATGCATTCAGGGATGACAACTGTGAATTTTTAAATAAGAGCTGCTATTACACCTCATGTGTTTGATACCTTCTTTCTGGTTCATTTGTATTTCAGATGCAACACAGGCTGGGTTTACATGAGGCAAGTTTTTCCACACTGTGTTGTGTTGTTTGGACCGATCTTCTCCTTCCTCTCCCCTACCCTCTGTATTGTTGCTCTGGAAAAGCTAGAGCAGAGCTTGTGAGAGAGAGATCAGGTTTGGAGGGATGGAGGCAAGCAGAACACTTGAACCAAAAAATCTTCCTCTGTGTGATGGAAACTCTAAAAGAATCTCCACATTTCTCCCCAATGTCTTATTTGATCCTGGACCAACAAGGCCACAGACTTTCCAGAAAGTCCAATGGGAAAATGTGGCTCTGAACCATCTGGGTGGGTGGGTCTTTGAAAGTTTTTTGTCTTGCAGTTCAGGCTGTGCATATACTTAGGCAAATTTTACAATGTTAAACAATTTGTCTAAAATTCCAAAAACTAGAGGGAAAGGCTACAAGATAGATAGAGGAGGCAAGGAGAACTCACCTGTTCAGAGTTAACAGCAGGAGTTTATTGGGTTAATTCCCTCCACTGCGATGTTTGAGTCATCAGATTTCAATCTGTGAATGTATTTGGTATCCTACCCAAAATCCCAGGCTAGAATTTAAAATTGAGGGACTCTAGATGTTACTCATGGTACTCCCTAAGGAAGACCGCCCCAGTACATGGTACACCAGCACTTGTCTTTTACAACTTTGCTTTATAGGAAATGTCTTGGGAAATAGAGAAGGTGTGAAGAAACTCACTGGGATTAGTGAAATTGGATGAGTTCCATTTCACAAGTACAGACAGAGCTTAGAAACTGGCTCAATTCTACTGTGTTTCAGTGAGTAAGTGCCAGGCTAGTAACTATACCATCTGTTGATTGCACAGCCTACAAAAATGATGCAATATATGATTCTTCCTTTTCTAGGATACATAAGGTATCAGGTGTTACTCTTTCTGAAGGATTTTAGGATTAAGGAGCTATAAAACTTTAACACTGCCCAACTTTGTACTGGTGAATTCTGGAGTCCCATAGGAAAACAATAAGCCAGGGGTATATCCTGTGGAATGTCCCTCAGGAAAAATCTCCTAAATGGAAAATGGAGAACTTGAGTCCACTGGTTTCTATCAGAAGCCAAGAATCAGACAGATAAGCATTCCGGTATCTCCCCAAGCCAGCATTTTCAGAAGTATCTTAGTCTCTGCAGATAGCCCCAGGGAGTCTCTTGCTGATAGATGAACATCCTTGCTCTGACTAGAAGGAGGAAGAAAAGAGGCATGCCGATTGTTACTCACTAGGCATGATCTACCAGGTGTGGCACCACTTCAGAAATTAGAAAACATTATTATTATTGTTAATATTATTACATTATTGCTTTCTGCTTGAGCCTGTTAGGTTTCTGTCTTTTGTTGTGTTTCCCCCTGGTTTGGTCAGAAATAAATGTAACTTAGAAGTCCTAGAGTCAAAGCAATATTCTTCTGGGGACAAAAGGAAGGATCTCTTAGAAAGATGGAACATCAGTATCGGCAGTGTGGCCAGGTGGTGGAGACTGGCATTAATATGTAAATTTTTGCTTTGTCAGCAATGGTAACAGTAGTGCCACTAGCAGTCTTGGCATTATGGACCTGGAGATTTATCAGGAAACCATGCCATCTTCTCCCATGATTAAGTAAGTAGCCACTGAGATGCGGTCATTGTGAGACTACTACCCAATTTCCTCTGATAATCCATTCTGCTCATCCAGATTATGCCCAGCCACTGATCTCATCATGTCTGTGTGGCTGTGGTTCCCAGAGCTTGTGGTTCTATTTCACTGGAACAAGAACTCGGGTCTAGAATAGGCCCCACCCTATGCCACCTGCTTTATGGGTTATAAATCATCTCCCTCTGGTATACTTATTTCAGATAAAGCTGATTAGTATAATCAGAAGTGTATGTCATTTTACCTAGTTGGACACATAGAAGCAAAAATCCAGTTAAATTGTACTAAGCCAACCAAGATAGACTATATAGTTCAACAGAATATGGTATATTCCAAAGGAAAGCCTTTTTCTTTACTTGTAGACACTTGGGCTTATCACTACCAAATATGTCTACGTGCTATGATGGAGATGTAGCATACCTACTCAGTGACTCTGCTCCCCACAATATGGCGACCTTCTAAAAGGCCAAGGGCAAAATGCACTTAGAGAAGCACAATATGTGTTACATAAAATATGGTGCAGAAACAATATGTGTACTACTGTTTCATGAGAAACTATTTGTTCTGTAAACCTTCACCTAAAGTACAATATATATATATATATATATATATGGTACAGAAAGGGAAGGCAACATGAAGTCAGGACGATTTCTAGAACTTGTGATTACTCTAGAAAATTCAGTGAATTGAAATCTATTTGTGACCATTGTGGCATGGCTTATTGTTTGGAGATTTCTGAAATTCTGGAAAAGTGAGAAGGAAGTATAGGACAAAAGTTGTACTCCCTGACCTGTTCCCTCAATCACTATCTATAGCTAAAGGATTTTCAATTCACCCTTCACCCAGGCATCCACAGTGATCAAAAGTTGCCATGCATCCTTTGTTGCCCCACACAACCATTATGCAAACATAGAGATGAACAAACACATTATCTTGTGTTTTGTTTTCTTTTTAAAAGGAAAACCAAAAAAAAGCAAAACTACTTTGGAGTGAATTTACTTTTCTCCTCCAGGAAACTTTGGTTTAACTACGTTTTCTGTCTTTCTCCATGATACGAGCCTAGGACCCCACAGCCTGTATGTATTCAGAGAAAGCCAAGACCCCCCCACCCTACAAGCAGCATCTTGCAGGTCCGGAATAATAGAAACTGAGCTACCATCTGTCATTTTCACTCATGTCACTCGTATAGAGATGGAGCAGAAAATTTAGACCCTTGGGAAATTGACCATTCTTCTGCAAATAATTAGGTATGAATGAAAGAAAGACTGTATCGAGCCTTGTCAACTTCAGACTCCTCTCAAAATCAGGAATAAAATGGAGTTTATCAGCTAGGCCTTAGCAGTCACAGAAAGTATAAGGGAGAATCCTCTATCATCATTTTAAGAGCCTTTGTACTCTAATTTCTAGACAGGACAAAAATATAGGACAACCACCGGCTTCCCAACGCGCTCACTTCCTTTCATCTGTGGAGCCGTATGTTCTCACTTCGTAAGCATCTGCTGAATCCCCCGACTCTGTACAAGGCTCTGTAATAAGTTCTCACCATAGGAAAATACCTCAAGTATTAAAAATTGCCATATCTAATGAAATACTTCAGTTATGAGTCCCTAGTTCCAAACTACTCAACTTACTGCAACTGCCTAATAAAAAGAAAGAAAAGAGTTCAACGTAATTGAACTATTTTGTTGTATAATTTAAATTCTGTAGTCTGTTGATTGTCTTTTCCCTTATTTTAGAAAAAAGAATCATATACAGGTAGAAAGGTATTTTTCTAGATTAAAATGTGTACTTATGCTGTTATCATAGTACAGAAAAGATACCATTGCGACAAGATGGAAACACACAGACTTTTAAATGACAAGTAAAATACAACAGAAGGATAAATCCCTAAATCAGAATGAATGACCTACAAAATCTCTCCTTGACTGTTTCAACCTAGGAAGGAGGTTTACGGAAGGGGAGGTTGAGTAGAATAGAAGGATACATCTTGCAAGAATCTCCCACACCAATTATTTCTACTAAACCCATACATAAAGATTATCTGGCCTTTTTGAGGGAAGGATATTTATTGCAGACCCTGTGTTATTGTTGTCGGGTGCCATCGAGTCAGTTCGGATTCATAGCGACCCTGTGTACAACAGAATGAAAACACTGCCTGGTCCTGCGCCATCCTCACAGTCATTGCTATGCTTGAGCCCATCGTTGCAGCCACTGTGTCAATCCATCTCGCTGGGGGTCTTCCTCCCTTTCACTAACCCTCCAGTTTACCAAGCATGATGTCTTTCTCCAGGGACTGGTCCCTCCTTTGTACCCTATAGTCTTACTTAATAATCACATTGGTATTTTCCCAGCATCACTTTAGTGTATGAAAACAAGTAACCTAGAACAAACTTTAAAAGCTTTTAGGTCAGTAAGACCCATCACTTCATCTTCCATTTACAGCTTACTCTTCCTAAATATTACCAACCATATACTGTTGTTTTCTCCCCAAGTGAATTAGTAGAAGAAAAGGAGATTCTTAAAGGACAGTCAGAACACATAGAGGGTAAGGCACAAGTTCCCATAATTTTGACACACAATTGCCTGCAATCTCTCTGTGGAAAGCATAGTAAAACTGTGGTTGTGTCTGTGTTCAGCACGTACCTCTGGACTGCCGTTGGGAACAGCCAGCCACCAGCGGAGCATGCTGGTGATCAACTTTGACCTGGAGCCAGAGTGTCCGGATGCTGAGCTCCGAGCCACTCTGCAATGGATAGCTGCCTCCGAACTTGGCATTCCCACCATCTACTTTAAGAAGTCTCAAGAAAACAGAATTGAAAAGGTATCCAATTTCTGTGTTTGGATAGGACACCAATAAAGCTTTGGGTTTTCATCAATACTAGAAACCCAGTCAATGTCCAGTTAATCACTGGACATTGAATTGTTTGTTCCTGACTTTTCAACTTGAAATTATGGCTAGAACATTGAAACATTCCACATAAATATAAACATCATTACTGTTTCTTGGACCCTCACTGTATCTCAGCTGATCAATGGCTATGAGAGAAGTAAAGTGGGGAGATGAGAATTTTTTCATATCTCCTTGTTCTGGAACCAAACTCTTCATAACATTCATTTAAATAAAAGGAGAAAGCAAAGGAAATGAAATATACTAGATACCACTATGATATATAAAATAGGCTGTGGCATGGTGCCTAGGGGAGGCATTTTTAATTCTCTACCAGAACAGATTTACACTAGGCAGGTTTCTCATTTTCATTCCACACTTACCAGAAGTATAAAGCTGGTGAATAAATCCTTGGCCAACGTCAGAATGAATAGCATCTATCATTCTAGTTCCATGTCTCTAAGACCTACCGCTACCTGTGATGGAATTTCAACTATTAATGTCTTCAACCTCCATTTTCCATAATTTGAAAACATGCTGCTTTTTAAAGTTTTCAAATTAATCATCATGTTCTTATATTGGTTTCCTAAAGCTGTTCAACAAATTACTATATACTTAAGCAGCTTAAAACAACAACCAGTTGTTCTCTGCTCAGGGTCTCACAAGGCAGAAATCAAGGTGTCAGCCTAGCTGGGTTCTCATCTGGAAGCTCTGGGAAGAATCTGCTTCCAAGCTCATTCAAGTTGTTGTCCTAATTCAGATTCCTGGGCTCCTTCTGGAACCTTAATCACTTTCTGGGGGTGGAGCCCAAAATATGCTTTTTTAACAACTTCCTCCAAGTGAAGTGATACTGACAAACTCTAAAGTTTGAGACCCACCTTCCTCAGAAATATCCTGAAGAAGTGGCAGAATCTGAGGTGACCATATATTATGCTAAATGCCAAGGCAAAGATTGCTGATAATCCTAACACCCAATAATCTAAAACAGTTTATATATTTAATTCACAATGACCTTGACATCAGTTAAATTCAATCTACTTAATTCAAAGCAAAAAAAAAAAAAAATCGTGAGAGCAAATGGCCTAAAAATAAAAAAATACACTCAAGTTGCTAATAGAAGAGAAGTAAGTAGCCTCACGTCTAATTTCTTATTCCATTCCACATGCAAAGTGGTAGAAGGCGAACAAGAGAGAAAATGTTGATGGTCTGGACTATTGACTTAACTTTTCCAAAAAAAACTACCCTGGAAATCTCGGTTGTGAAGAAACACATCAAAAAGGAAGGAAAAATAATAAGGAATGAGTAGATACCAACGCTCTTCATTTGTAAATATAAGAAACTGCCTTTGGCTGGGTCTTTAGCCATGGTTCCCAAACTTAATTGCCCATTAGAATCACATGGGAAGCTTTCACAACCCCAGATGCTCTGACTAATTAAATTAGAATCTCTTCTGGGGACAGGACCCAGGCATCACTGGTCCCTGGTGATTCTAGTGTGCAGCTACAGTTGAGAATCACATCTCTCCAGGCCATAAAGTATTGCAGGAACCATATAGGGACCAGCTCACTTGCACTCATGAAACCTAATTCTACTGTGGAACAAAAGAAGGTAGCTGCTTTCTGAAATCTAGGTTGAATGTTTCCAGAAAACCATATTGGCTTGCAACAATTCCCATGGATCTCAACATATGATTTTGTAAGCAATTAATCTAAATAGTGAAAAGCACCTGAGAATATAAAAGTCATCTACCATGGGATGCTTTTCTTCAAATGAGTCTACCAATGATACGTTGTTGTTATGTGCTGTCAAGTCAATTCTGACTCCTAGTGACCCTATATGACATAGTAGAACTGCCCCCATAGAGTTTCCTAGGCTATAATCTTTACAGAAGCAGATCACCAAGTCATTTTTCTCTCAGAGCCACTGATGGGTTTGAGCCACCAACCTTTTGAAGAGCAGCTGAGTGCTTCTCAGGATGTAAGTTCTTTTAGCTTCCTAAGACTAAATATTTGCTCAAGGAAGCCTAATTATAATTGATTTGTGAAATGACAGGAAATTAAACATTTTGACTTTTATATTTCCAGTGCAGTGGAAAGAAAAACCCGTATCCTTGACATGCTTCAGCTCATTAAGAAAATACCAAGGCAATAATAACATGGACAGGCACAATGAAAGACTGAGGGCCAGCTGCTAGATAGAATGTGGCTTAAAAAGGCCATTGTCTGTAGTAATGAGCTGGAAATGTCCTTTTCTGGCTTCTTCACAATTTTAGCTTCATTTTTACGTAAATTTTTTTTTTTTTTTAAATGAATGGAGGAAAGAAAGCATGAGCCCTTCCTGGTCATAAGCTCTGCAGATGTTTCAAGGTCTCAACGTCCGAGATAAGTCGTCACAGCCTACAAGCCTGCTGTCTTTAGTGGGGCCAGAACATTTCTTTAAATCTGCTTTATTGGAGCATCAGCCTGGACTTAGAGACAGTGAAGCAGGTTCTAGCCTATGACCATTCCACAAGCGTTTTCTTTTTTATTGTGGTAGTATATATATGGAGTCCTCGGATCTTGCAAACGGTTAATGCACTTGGCTGCTAACCAAAAGGTTAGAGGTTCATTTCCACCCAGAGGTGCCTCAGAAGAAAGCCCTCACGATCTACTTTGGAAAAATCAGCCACTGAAAAACACTATGGAGCACAGTTCCACGCTGACACACACGGGGTTGCCATGAGTCAGAAATGACTCCATGGCAACTGGTACTGCTAGGCTCCGTTCAGCCTTCTCCTACCCATGGCTTCCAACCATTTTTGTGGTGCAAGCTCTCAGGAGAAAAGTATTGAGCAATCAGCTCCAAGATGTGCATATTTAATTTTTAATGGTGTATGTACAAATACATTATCTAAAATTCAAGAATGAATACGTCAAGTTTGACCTCAATGATACTGGATGGCAATCTATATTTCAAACTCTTGACAACTTTGAATGTATATTTGACTATCATTTGATCATTAATACCTTCATTCAGCAACTGTGTATTGAGCACCTACTAGGTGCTGGCATAAAATATAAAAAGACAGTCACCACGTCCTTCCCCTGGGAGTTTACTATCTGGAGTGTAGCTGCCATCTGCCTGTCAGTCTGTCTCCCTTTTCACATCATCCTGAAATGCTTTGAGGTACTGTTTATGTTTCCAGCTGTTAAAAGTATTTCAATTTCCAGCTTAGAAAACTGCTTTATTCTGATTAAGCCAACACAAAGCAAGCAAGTACAATAAAGCCCTGATTTCTGTAACCATGCAAATAGTTGGTGCAATCACAGCTAGGAGAAGAAACATAATTTAATAGTAGTTCTCTAGAAAGACAGTTTCTCAGTAATTGAAATGAATTAACAAATTCAAACTGGAGAGGAAGAAAAAGGCCAGAAGGAAATTAGCCTTCCAAGTTCTGGATGATCTCAAAAGTCTGAGCATACACGGAAAGAGGAGAGTATAAAAATCCGACAAGGAAACATTGAAGAAATAGTAACTAAACCACAGTCCTCGTCTTTCTAACAAATAAGACTTTCATCCTCATAAAATACCAGATTCTCAGCCTCTGCTATCCCCCGGTGCTCCAAATGCATATCAACGCCATGTTCTCCTTGCACCAAATTGAACCAAGGTGGTGTAGTAGAAAGAGGAGTGGACTAGAGTGTTAAAATACCGTGGATTCTTATGTCCACTTTTCATTTCTCAAGTCTTCACTTTTTCATCTGTAAGTGCCTACTTCACAGGGTTTTTTGACAGAATTGAATAAGATTACATACTGCAAAAGTACTTGCTATAGTTTCTGGCTGTTAGTAATTTAATTTTCTTTAAAACTCTCTGACTAGGGAGTTTGAGAGGGCTTCACTGGACTTTATCACACATTTTCATCAAGAGAACTCTCTGTAATAATTCACCCATTTTTTTCAACCCTCCAAACCCACAATTCACTTGCAGTTTAGAACTTTCTAAGTTGTGGCCAATTGTAGCCAGTACCAATAACCAGGTGATAGATCTAGAGTGTTTCCTCAGTCTTTCCTTTTCCTGTCGCTGTGGAAAGACAACCTCTTCGTTGTTGTTGTTGTAAAAATATATATAACACAACATTTGCCAAGTCAACATTTTTTCCATGTATAATTCAGTGACATCAGTTAAATTAATCATGTGGTACAACCATCACCGGTATCCACTGCCAAGTTTTCTGTCACCACAAACACGTACTCAGTGCTTCCTAAACAATGGCTCCCCTTTTGCGCCAAAGCCAGCCTCTCTTGATGCTTCATCTTGGCATATTATGGGGAAGAGGAAGCTTTTCAAGATGAGTGAGGAATGAGTAGGTTGCCCTAACTAAAAGTTTAGCACTTGATTAATTTGTCATATTTATATTTATTTGGCAGATGTATTTTCAGATATATTTGGCAATGCGCATATCCTATGAGAAATTATTTGTAATACGGGTAGAGGGAACTGGGCGCCATGTTTTATAGACCTGCCAAAGGAGTCCAACCCAGGAAACAACTGACGTGAGGAAATATTCCAAATATCTGAAAGACTGACCCTTGAAAGGAGAATTAGTATTGTTCCATCTAGTCCTCTGCAATCAGTAGATGGAAACCACTGTGAGGGAAATCCAATCCCAGTGTTGGGAGGATGATCTGCCTCTACACCTCCCATCCAGGCTGCCTAAGCAGAGGCCTTGGGCCCAGAACCTTCTCTGATAAGGAGGCTGGGAATTAGATCTCTCTCTCTTTCCTCCAGTTCCTTCTTCTTATCAGGGAAGCCTCCCTCCCTGTTCTGGGCCCACAGTAACTTTCTCTGTCTCTTGCTGATATACTGGTACCATATGGTACTTGACCAATCCCATTTCTATATCTGTTCCCAGTGGGGAGAGAATGGGGTCTTCTTCAACTACAGCACAAGAGAGGTACGCATGGAACATCTGCCCTACACTGGCCACAAGGGGGGACTCACTGGCCATGGGAGACCAGCGGCCACTAGTGAAGCTAATCTCGCTCTATCTCTTCTCCATGCGCATAAACATTATCCCATGCACTGTCAGAGCATGTGGATTATGTCTTTTGTTGGTGACCTCAGCCCTTAGTGCAACATCCAGTTTAGTTGAAAGAAGAACTATCTAATAATCTGAACTGTCTACAAAGGAGATACACTGTCCTGTATAGTAGTCCCCTGTCATAGAGTTATTCATAGACTAGAGAGCCCTGGGCAGGAAAATGGAAACGGGATAAGGCTTTACAAGACTGAAACCTCTGTGTTGCACATTCTAACTCTATACTTTATTTTAGTTTCTAGATGTGGTGCGGCTGGTTCATCAGAAGTCCTGGAAAGTGGGAGATATCTTTCACGCAGTTGTCCAGTACTGCAAAATGCATGAGGAGAGGAAGGATGGGGTCCCGAGTCTCTTTGACTGGCTCTTGGAACTGGGATAAGGCAGCTTGCCCTGTAGAGCATCCCTTTCCTTTACTCCAGCTTAGATTCCCATGGTTTTCACAATGCTCTAAACTTTCTCAAAACATTGCATCCTGTTAGCAAAAAAAATCTGCTGCTCAAGTTTACTGTACATGGAATAAATCTGAGGAAAAGCAGAATATACGTCTGTACAAATCAATACATCCTGTGGGTGAGTTAAAAAAAACTTGCATTAGAATGGCTGGAGAAAGAAACTACAATGGACCCCAACTTAGAAACCTTATAATCAGGCCCATACACCAGGAAAGCTGCACTCACGTATCTTTAATAATGTCAAATGATATGTCATATCTACAATTATGTGCATCAACTGGAAACCAATTCACTGGTCAAGATAATTTTGTAAACTATGCTGTCACTTCTACTTTCTTTGTCTGAGAAGATGAAGGCACTACCAACCCATTAAGATATGAATGAGAAACTTCCAGGACTTTTATATAAAAGATTTCCACATTCAGATGGGTATCGGTAGATATTCACAGAAATGTAAGAGTATGTCAGTGTCCTCTACTGAGGTGATTCCATTTATTCACTGCAACCCCCAGATAAATAGCCACCTCTCCTCAACAATATCTGAACTCCTAGCTACCCGGGAAACTATTGGTGTTGAGTTGAGGGAGAGGAAGATTGAAGATTGTCTTGTTTCCATCACTATATTATATTGGTAACATAATTACAGAATTCCTACTGTGTGGGAAAGCTTTCTAACTTAAAAAAAGAAAAAGTCCTTCGAGATAAAATCTACTTGTGTATTAAATTATATGAAATACAAATGTTCATTTTATTTTTATTATAAATTATGAAGAGATTGTCATCTTAAATAATATATTGAGTTAGCTTACAGGTTCACAGAATATGAAGAGATGGTTATCTGAAGTCATACATTGACTTTTAAGAACAGTGGTTCATTTGGTTATGAATAGGTTTGCACTTATATGGCAGACTTGCTACTGTGATGACATTTATAATGACTGAGGCAGGGTAGTAACCTTGGGGTTGACATGACCAGTTAGGATCATAGTCTAAATGTTCTCCTTTCCTGACTCAAAAAGATTGACACTGAATTTGGGAAAAAGAAATCCTTATCATGTTTTCAGTATTTTAATAACAGAGATGTATTGTTTTGAAAATAAAGCTATCTAATGTCTCCCAAGGGTCCCTAGCGGTGCAGTGGTTAAGCGTTTGGCTGCTAACCAAGAGACTGGCAGTTCGAATCCACCAGACGCTCCTGGGAAACCCTAACAAGCAGTTCAGAATTGACTCTATGGCAACAAGTTTGGTTTTTGGTTTGGTTAATGTCTCCCAAAATCTTCTATTCTTTTAACTGAATGAGCTACAGTAGCTTTTATTTTCATGCTCAAAGTAGGTGTTTATTAAAGATTTCTGGAAATACTATGCTTTTACACTATTTTTTAAGATTTCAAAATAATTTTAAATGTGAAAGAGGCACCACACCATCAACGCTAGCCTGATCTGATCTATTTATCCACATCTTGAAATGTCAAGAAAGGTTCCTTGTGAGCCAGACTTTTCCCCTGGCAATCCTTCCTACTACTCGTTAAGTATGTATTGCACAAATAGTCCAAATTTAGGTTATATATTTAATTTGACGTATTAACCAAATGTCAACTTTTAAAATATACCTATCATCTCAAACCGAATGTTCTTTGTGCTTTAAATGGAAAAGGATATGTTTATTTTATCTAAGCAATCCCAGATAATTGTGTGTAGACTTCTGTTGTGCTCGAGTATATGTTTACTTATCCTACAAAGCACAAATTATAATACTGGATTGTAACCTGTGATTAAATCATACATGTTGTAACCTAATATTGCAAATTAATCAATAAATTTCTGTTGCCAAAGCGCTGGTCATTTTTTCTCCAAGAGCTATAAGCATCTCATGGAAAAAATAGTCACACTGTGATTGGGTGACGGTGGATATATCCCTTAGACGAGCTTTGCTGTCCTGCTGTACCATTTTTGAATAAGTAAAGGTTCACTGACTAAATATGTTAGGATCAGTAATATTTTTGAAAATCAGAGTTTCCCAGTCTCAGCACTATTGACATTTGGGGTTAGATAATTCTTTGTTGCAAGGTCCTATGCATTGCAGAATGTTTGGCAGCATCCCTGGCCTCTATCTACTAGATGCCAGAACTGCTTCTCCCAGTTTTGAAAAAAATGTCTTCCAACAAAATCGAATATCCCCTGGGGGGTAAAATCACTCTATTTTGTGGCCACTTGTGTAAATGGTGATTTGAAAGGGCAAGGTCTGAGGCTGTGTTGGGTATATGAGTAAAGGAAAAGGAGCCTGCCGCCTCTAGTCTAGGGCCTCCCAGAAGGAACTTAAGGGCCAGATAGCCCCGCTCCCACCCAGCCAAGGCCCATGGGGTGTGGCCTTTGCAGCAAATGGGAGAAAGAGGAGAAGAGGCACAAGATGAGGAGTCTACAGGCCTGGGAATAAATCGAAGTAGACTCAGGTAAACTAGAGGTAAGCTCATCAGTGTTAGAGGTAAATTAATCAAGGCTCTTTTAATTCAGGAAATGAATTATCAGAATTAATTCAAATGAGGCATTGAGAATAATGGGAACTTTATTTTATTCAAAAGAAAATCCTGGCAATCTATTTCCGAAAGATCTCAGCCATTGAAAGCCCTACGGAGCACAGTCCTAATCTGACACACATGAGGTCACCAAGAGTCAGAATCTACTAGATGGAAACTGGTTTTGTTTTTGGTTTTATTTTATTCACTAGAAAGAATACCTCATATGCTTAGGTAAAGAAGAACTCTCCGGTCAGCCATGAGGTATCAAAGATGCAATAAATGATCCTAATGAACCCATTATCCCTGACATCTTCCTGGGACTCAATATCTTTCTTGCATAGTATAGAAGCCATTTAACAAACATAATTTTAGTGACTAGTGAGTGTTGCACACTGTTGTAGACAGTTGGAATAAAGATGTGAATCACACTCATCCTGGCTCCAAGGAGCTCATAGACAACGGGAGAAACAGACACATCAAAAATCTAACAAAACAATAAAAGGAAAAAAAAAATCTAACAAAACAATATATCATTTGCTATAATACAACTGCATGAACTGTCAAAGGAAGGAGTACCAAGAAGCGAGTATTTAATTTTGCCTGCTGACATCTGAGGCCACTTCCAAGGAGGGAACCTTTAAGCTCAGCCTTTTGGGTATTATCTTAGTCATCTGCTGCTGTAACAGAAATACCACAAGTGAATGGCTTTAACAAAGAGAAGTTTATTCTCTCACAGTCTAGTAGGCTAGAAGTCTGAATTCAGGGCGCCAGCTCCAGGGGAAGATTTTCTCTCTCTGTTGCCCTGGTCCTTGTCATCAAACTTCCCGCAGTCTAGGAGCTTCTCAGGTACAGGAACCCTGGGTCCAAAGGACACACTGTGCTCCTGGCACTGCTTTCTTGATGGTATGAGGCCCCTATGTCCCTCTGCTCGCTTCTCTCTTTTATATCTCAAAAGAGATTGGTTTAAGACACAACCTTATCTTGTAGATTGAGTCCTACCTCATTAACATAGCTGCCTCTGATCCTGCCTCATTAACTTCATAGAGGTAGGTTACACAACACATAGGAAAATCACATCAGATGACAAAATGGTGTACAATCACAGAATACTGGGAATCATGGCCTAGCCAAGTTGACACATATTTTTGGGGGACACAATTCAATCCATGGCAGGTATTATGGAGTCAATTAAGCACTGAGATGAATTTAGCAGGGACTCTAAAGGGCTAGAAAAATGACAACAAAGATATGATGAACAAAAATGCAGGTGTGCATCATCTGAGACACAGCTAGGAGTTTGAAGCAATTGGAACATGGAGTGTGATGTGAACTGAAGAAGGTGCTAGATGTAAGACTGGGAAGGGAAATTGAAGCCACATTAGAAAAGACTTCACATGCTGTCCAAAAAATCTAAAATGTATTATTTAGGCATGAGCCCTTTTAATCAAGGGAGTTACAAGACCAGACCTGCATGTTAGAGAAATAACATAGGCAAATACATGGATGACCCACTGTGTTTTTTTCTTACAACTGGAAAAATTCCATAAAAGTTTACTTTGTTACACAGTAAAGGGAGTTCCACTGCTCTAGAATTTCTCGTCCTCATATAACACCTATCACCATCTGTCTGCTAACATGGTAAGTTGTATACATGGATCTCGTTCAACCTATTATAAGCTCTGTCTAGGCTGGGTTCTCTAGAGAAGTAAAACTAATAAAGCATATATAGCATATATATTTAGAGAAAGAGAGAGATTTATATCAAGGAAATGGCTCACGTGGTTGTAGAGGCTAGAAAGTCCCAAGTCTGTTTGTCAGGCTTGAGGCTTCTCCTGACTCACAAGGGGATACTGCATGGTTTAAAGTCAGGAAAGGTGTGCGTCAAGATTGTATCCTTTCCCCATACTTATTCAATCCATATACTGAGCAAATAATCCAAGAAGATGGACTATATAAAGAAGAATGAGACATCAGGATTGGAGGAAGACTAATTACCAACCTGTGATATGCAGATGACACAACCTTGTTTGCTGAAAGTGAAGAGGGCTTGAAGCACTTACTGACGAAGATAAAAGACCACAGTCTTCAGTATGGATTACACCTCAACATAAAGAAAACAAAAACCTCACAACTGGACCAATAAGCATCGTCATGATAAACAGAGTGTGATGGTTAAGATTGTGTGTCAACTTGGCTGGGCTATGATTCTCAGTGTTTATATGTGATCACTCCCATGATGGGATCTGCTGTGAGTAGCCAATCAAGTGAAAGGGAGTTTCCTGGGGGATGTGGCTTGCATCTGAATATAAGCAGATGCTCTGGCTTTTTGCTTGCTCTGCATCCCACTGCTACCTCCTGTTCATCTGACCTCCGGTTCTTGGGACTTAAGGTATCAGCTTATCTGCCTATCTTGGAATTCATTGATCTTCACAGTCTGTGAGCAGGAGCCCTTCTCTTTGACCTTCCAATCTTGGGTTTGCCAGTCCCTGCAGCTATATGAATCAG